AAGAGACTGAGGAAGAAGACAAATAGCCATATTTTTGGACTTTATAAGACCTGGACCCTGAGTTCTACTTATTCTAAATTCTGATTTCAAACTCAGTGACTGCTTTGTCAGCTCATCTGCCTCTGTACCCTTCAAAGATTCTTAAGCAAACAGAGGGCACTCAGTTATTCTGCCTGGAAGTCTCCTGAGCCAAAGAGAGCCTTGACTCATGAGGTGCATTTTCCATTTTCCACACTACTGTAAGTGTTGCTGTTGCTAAGCTTTCTACCTTTACCCAAATAGGATCCATGTGCTCCATCTTCCAGGAATATTCCCTGCACTTTCCTCTAAACCCATATCAGTAGTTCCCTTGAACCCTTCCAGGCTCCCCCTACCTTCCAGGCCTCCTGTTACAGGTTTTTCTAGAGCTCACCTCGTTTTCAGATGCCAGATTCTCTCCTAGTTGTCTCTGTATACTGAACTATGCCAAACCTAAAGGCCACCACCCATACCATATTACTATGCCTTTAGATGCCCCACAGACTGGGATCAGGAGCTTGTTGAGGGTGCAATGGGAATTCATTGTTTCTGCTCCATAATATTTGGGGCCTCATCTGGGAGCAATTGAGCAAGCAAAGTGGTTTGATGGTGGCTGGAGGGGCGCTTGACTGGCTGGGCCCTGGAAATACCTGGAGACTCCTTCACTCCCATGTTGGTTGATGAACTGGGAGGCCCAAGGCTGAGATGAGCTGGGATGGCTTAACAGAGTACTCATTCATATCACTGTTACTTTTCTTAACTTGTTCCTTTAAAAAAAAAGTTGGTTTTGATTGTGTGGCTTTCTGTCCAGTTTGTTTGCTTATTACTTTATCAGTAGAACCTTTTCTTTTAATAGTGCCTGGCATAGAAGTTTACAAATCAAGGCACAGCAGGGAAAAGCATGATCTGTTCTGATGTCCTGAAGGTAGTAGTGACACATGGCATAGAAGTCAGGGGTTCTAAAGGATGGATGGTGAGAATCAAGTCTCTCTCTTTTGGCCTTTAGTCTTTCAGATTTGTTTTCTATAGATAGTTTTGTTGCTACTTCCTTGTGTATCTGTCAAGAAAGAGACTATACATTTACAAATCTTAAATGTATTCAGGCACCACCCCCCCACACACACACGCATACACCACATCTATTCTTTTACCTTCATAAAAGTATATAGCACACTATTTGCTCTCTGTAGTTTACCTGTAGTTGTCAGGGCAGGTGCTTGATGTAGCAGTTGGGATGCCTGCATCACACATTGCTATACCTGAGTTCAATTCCTGGTTTTGGCTCCAGCTTCCCATCAGTGTAGACACTTGCAGGCAGCAGTAATAGCTGAAGTAATTGGATTCCTGCTAACCATGTTGGAGACCTCTGTTGCATCCTAGCAACCTGCTTTGGCTTCAGCCATTGTAGGTTATCTAGAGAGTGGACCAGCAAATGGGAGCATGTGTTCTCTCCTTTCTTCCCCCTCCCACTGCCTCTCAAATAAACATTAAAAATTTAAATATAGAGACCATACCTTATAAATAGTGCTGCTTTCATAGCTGCATACTAGTCTCATCTTATCAAGAAATAGCCCATTATCATTCTACTTATGGACGTTTGAGTTATTTGCTGTTTGTGATTGTTGTTGTATTTACTATTACAGACAGCAGTGTGTGCAGTTGTATTCAAGAGGAGGCAACACATCTGCTCCCTACAGGAGATTCATTGCTCAGTCAAGAGAATGCATGTTTTAAATTCTGATAAATGCTTCCAAATTGCTTTGTACTGCAGTTGTATCATTTTACACATCCATGAGAGACTCCATTTTTACCACTCTCATCAGGTAGTATGTGAGCAAGCTTATTGAAATTTTGTTAACTCTTACATTGAAAAGTGGTATTGTACCACATTAACAGGCTTCTCCATAATGAGTGACATTTAGCATCTTTTCATTTACTATTTCACTTTACAGACTGCTTTTGAACTTGTTCTTGGGAGATGAAATGCTGTTCAAAAGTGAAGCAGCATGCAAATGATTTAAGAATACAGAATTTCTGATATCAATCTTATTTCACTCTGCTGTTTTTACTTTAATTAGTGTAGATTCTCTGTCATGTGCAACATAAGAAATCACAATTAAGACAATGGTTGGAATGCCCCCATTCTATATTGAGGTTCCTGGGTTGAGTTGTCACTCTGATTCCAATCCAACTTCCTGTTTATGTGCACCTGGGAAGCAGAAGGTGGTGACTCAAATACTCAGTCCTTGCCACCCATGTGGGAGACCCAAATGGAGCTCTGGACTTCTAGCTTCAGCTTGTTCCAACTCTGGCTGTTATAGGCATTTAGAGAGTGAATCAGCACATGGTGGGAGTTGTGAGCAGGTTGTCTCTCTCCCCGCCACTTCTCTTTCCTTTGTGTCATGCTGGCTTTCAAAGAAAAACAGAATTTTAAAAAGTGCTCCATTGGTTTTAAAAGGTTGGCTTTGTGTTATAAATACTTTAATCCTATTTTTGTAATCTCTACTATATTAGAAGCTGTTGTATTGAAACTGATGTTGTCTTATTAAATGAACTATGTTTAGAATTAGAATCAGCAATGGCATTTATGGAACAATTAGAAATTTGAATATCAACTGGGTATTTGGGAACTATTATATATTCTAGCTGTGATAATGATATTGCGATTTTGCTTGAAAAATAGACTGTATCTTTTAAAGATGCCTACTGGAATATTTATGGACTTAATGATATGGTTTCTGGAATCTGCTTTGAAATAATTCTTGAATGGATAGCATTGGTCTTAATAATTATCAAAACTGGATATAAAGTAGTGGTATTCTATTTTTTACATGCTTCGCATTTTCTAGAAAAATCTGGAAATTTAACAAACAAGTATTAGGTTCATACCATGTAAGACATAGTCCCTTGTGTTGCTGAAAATAGATACTTCCCAACAGTGAGAAACTTCGTCTACATGGTCTCTGTAGTTAGCCCAATGTCCAAAATGCTGTTGGCATATAGCAGGTGCTCAGCACACACAATTTCTCCCCCAAAGGCTGCTCTGTTTTTGATTTTCACCAGTGGTGGCCCTGAATATGTGCCCCATGAGATAATAGCTGGACAAATGATTAGTTTCCAAGGAAGATGGAGTCTCTGGAGTCTCATGCATTTGAGAATCAGAGAGGTACTTCTGGAGAGTTGCCAGCAATCAGTATTGAGGTTCCTTTAAAAAAAAGATTTTTTTTATGCTTATTGGAAAGGCAGATTTACAGAGAAAAGGAGAAACAGAGAAAGAAAAATCTTCCACCCATTGGTTCACTCTCCAATGGCAGTGCTAAGCTAATCCATAGCCAGGAGGCAGGAGCTTTTTCTAGGTTTCCCACATAGGTTCAGGGTCCCAAGGACTTGAGCCATCCTCCACTGCTTTCCCAGGTCATAAACATGGAGATGGGTTGGGAGTGGAGCAGCTGGGATGTGAACCAGTGCTCGTATGGTCCTTGAAGGTAGAGGATTAGTATGTTCAGCTATTGCCCCGGTGCCTAGCACTGACATTCCTAAGACTAAGGAACCCAAGACAATGTTTCTAAACCAAGAAAAATGGTCCATATAACATGGATTGCTTATTTTAGGAACCTACAAGGGATTTGCTCAGGGTTAACACAAAAGTCTATGGAGAGGGCTGATCATCACACAGTCTTCTTAGATGATTCACCAGGCCTTATATACTCCTCTCTGAGCTGGTTTCACTTCGAGTCCAGAACAACAGGGTGCACAGAAATGTGCTTAGTGAACAATCTCTCATGAAGGTGATGATGCTATAAGCCAGGAGAGACTTGGAAGTGGGGATCCATAAAAGGGAAGATCAAGAAGGCAAAGTGTTGTGTTGTTGATCCCATAGATATGTTTGAGAATTTGGTAGGTCAGGAGCAGTGAAAATCGTGATGTTTATGTTTGCCTGCAGGTGTAGTGCAGTTGCTTCACGATGAGAGGAAAGATTTAAAGAAAAACACAGTGAGGTACATCCTGCCTGGAAGAAGACTTTTTTTGAAAAGTCTGAGTGCTGTGTTACAAAGGCCATTTACGTCTTCTGGGTGGGCTGGTCAGTTGTCCGAATGCCACATGCTGCCAGCAGCACATTGTCACCGTGAAGTCTATTCTACTAACATCCATGTACCCCCAGGGACATTGTGGATATCTGGTTCTTCCTGGTGGTGCCTGTCTGACTTAAACCGCTAGTCTAAATGGCCTCAAACACTAAACACTAAACATGGCCCAGCTTTCCTGCTGTGAGGATTGGAGTCTGCCCAGTTGCTCTCCGGTGCCAGCAATGTTGCCCCTTCCAGTAGGATGCTCCAGATTGCTTGGTGCCCACCATTCCTGCTCCCTCTCAAACCCTGAGGCTGAGCCTGGTGTTTCAGAGCACACCTGGTCCCAAAGCCAAAGAAATACGATGCAGGAGAATCCAAGTAGTTGCACACCAAGCCCACCTCTTTTTTTTTGTTTTTGACCACACACCAGAAGTTCTTTGGAGGTCACGTGGCACACAGGTGTACTGTGTAAAAGGAAATAGCTAAATGGAAGCAAATCAGGGTCTTTCAAAGAGAGGCTTTCCAGACAAGCACTTCTTTTTGCTTTGAAAGTAGCTGATTCAGTGCCATTCACCTATTGAGAAAGCAAGCACATTTATTTGTATCTGCATCTACAAGACCCAAGGGCCTTTTCCAGCTCTGCCAGAGCCTGAGGAAGCAAAGAAGCCCATGTGGTTCAATCAGCCACAAATGCACACGTGGAGTTGTTTCAGAGGCAGCCACACCCCAGGCAGGGATTTGGAACACAGTCTCCTTTTCTAAGACTGTGATCTCAGCACACTTCATGGTTCCTCTAACCCTGAGCCTCCACACTTTCTGATGCCCAGAGTTGCTGCTGTTTACCATGTAAACAAACCCGCGTTCCATGCCAAGTCAATATCTGTGCACTGAGTGTCCAATCTTGTCTTTCAGAAATACCGACAATACATGGCAGGACTGCTGGCTCCTCCTTATGGTGTTATGGAAACGGGCTCCAACAATGACAGTAAGTGAACAACATGAACATCTTGTATGGAAACATTTGTGGGGGAGTGTGTTTTCACATGGCAAAAACCAAGTCCCACACCAGTGTGACAGCCTGGGGCCACAGGCACCTTTGTGGGAAAGCTCACATTTGGGGTATTTTAGCAAATCATTAATATAGTGTGATTTTTGTGGTCTTGGCTGATGGAAGGAGGAGGTATATGCCAGCTGGAACCTAAGCATCCTTAGAACACACCTCCAAAATGTCTTCATTGTGGAGTGAAATCCAGTGTTGTTTCAGTGCCCTTTTGAAAATGGGATTCATGAGCCATGGGTGTCTTCACCACATCTAGATACCTCTGAGATTCTTTGGGTTCAGTGATTCAAAGAGAGAAGCAGTGGGAGTCTGGATTCTTAGACCATGGTCCCTTCAAATGCCAGGCCCCTGTGCATATTAGGTACTGTCATCACACACATGAGCAAGGTGACAAAGGAAGTTGTTGGAAAGCTAATTTGCTCAGGATTCTGTAGTCATCTTCACACTATGGATTTATACATCAAAACAATATATTGTATTCACCAAGTACAGGCATAATAATATTATACATTAGATGTATAAAATCACACATCCAGGTCTCTTATCAGTGTTGTGTCTCTGGCTGATTGTAACCGAAAGGAAGCTGTCTTCTGCTGACGCTATTTTCTGGGGAGTCTTCTGTTTCTGTGGAGTGTAGTGTGGGAGGCTTTTCTTTGGCTGGAAGTTCCTCTGTGTGTCTGAGTCCTCTTATTAAGCTCTCATTTATATGCAGGATATAAGGTGCCCAGTACTAGAGATGGCCAAGCTAGAGCATTTTAGCCTCCAAGCCGTGTGATGTATCTTACAATGCTCCTATCCCAGACATCTTCAGAGCCACAAAGTCATTGTCCTGTCTGCATCCTGGCTCATGGACTTCCCACCCTTTGTCACTCTCTGCAGATGGCCCTCCTCCCTGCTTGCCTTTCTGGCCCAGCCTGTGGCTTTCTCCCATTCCACAGAGAGAGAGGGAGGGCGGGATGAGTCTTCTCTTTTCCTTCCTTGTTTTCAACTGCGACTTTTCCTTTCTCCTGGCTGAGCATGAGCTGACTGGCTGGTTAGGGGCATTGGTTGGAAACCCCCAATGGGCTGTCTCCTGGCTGCATGACCTGGGCAGGACACCTTCTTGTGCCTGTGTCTCAGTGATCTCAGACGATTATAGTGAGGCTTGGATGAACTTGACCAAGTCGGATGTTCACAAGAGTGCTGGACACGTAATAAGCACCCGAAGAGTAGTATCTATTACACTCTCACATCTGTCACTTTCACCCCCATACAACCAAAATCTCTGCTCTACCCACACTTTTTTGCTTTTTTTTTTTTTAAAGATTTATTTTTTATTATTTTTTCATTGGAAAGGCGGATATACAGAGAGGAGAGACAGAGAGGAAGATCTTCCGTCCGATGATTCACTCCCCAAGTGAGCGCAACGGGCCGATACTATGCCGATCCGAAGCCAGGAGCCTCTTCCGGGTCTCCCACGCGGGTGCAGGTTCCCAAAGCTTTGGGCCGTCCTCGACTGCTTTCCCAGGCCACAGGCAGGGAGCTGGATGGGAAGCGGGGCTGCCGGGATTAGAACCGGCGCCCATATGGGATCCCGGGGGTGCAAGGCGAGGACCTTTAACCACTTGCGCCACCGCGCCGGGCCCTACCCACACTTTTTTGAAGAAACCTTCATGATGTCCATCCAGTAACCAACGCCCTCTCTCTCATTTTGCCTGGTCCTTCTGATTGCTTTGAGATTTTCCATGCTCAAGCGTCTGTTGGGTCCAGGCCCCTGTTGCATTCTCCTGGCTTGCTCAAATCACTGGTCATGTTCATTCTTGTTTCCTGGGGCTTCGGCCCCTCCCCCAAAGCCCCACATCACACAGGAGTCGGCCCTGGATGCTCCTCCTTTCTTACACCCCCCTGGACTCTCCTGTCCATGTCTGCAACTGATGAAATACCTCCCAAACCAGCACAGCACCTGGAAGCCTCAATTGCCAAATGGCTACTGGTCTCCATTCATCCTGGGAGTCCCTTGGGCCTCTCCCCAGGTCAACATCGCATCTTGATCTGCCATAGTTGCAAACTACCCACCTGGAACCCCATTTCCAAGGCCTCTGCTATTCTCTTGCTTTGCCAGGCTCTAATGCTCAAACAGCTTTGGATTCCTTCTGCTCTGTCCACTCAGCTGTCCACCACCTCTCCATCGTTTGCAGATGCTTGGTCTTTCATTCCTGTTTCCTCTGCAGCCACCTGGCAGCCAAGGATTCCACTGACTCACTGTCTCTGAACCATCAGTTGGACAACATTGGTCTACCTGGCATCTGATTTCCAGGCAACTTTCTACTTTGTACTGTGAACAATATCAAGGATATAGAAAGCAGAAGGCCTGGCATAGTAAACACTTTGACTTTAATCATTTGTTTTAATAAGAATATTTATATGCTTGGATATTCTCTCTTGTTAATAAATTTGTAAATACTTGGGCATTAATTATGGACAAATTTTTTTTCTTTCATCTGCGTGTTGTACCCCAGATGCTTCAACAGGAAGTTTTTGAAAATGAAGTCTTTTCTAGCTGTAAGCACAATATCACTATGTTGCCTAACGACTGATTAGTGATTTCCTTAAGAATGCCCATCACCCAATCCATATTCAGATTTCCGATACTGATCCCTCTGGTAATTGGACTCCAATGAAGGACCATGCCATTGCCTCTGGGTTTTGTGTCCTAAGTATCTTTTAATTTTGAACATCCCCCTTCCTTTCTTGTTCCTAATCCTATTACTCTATTGTCCAGAATTGTTTAATGCTTGTCCATTTCCTGCCATGGAAGATAAATTTCCAAAGCTTTGAATGCCTAAGCCCAACTTTCAAGGTCTTCCACAGCCACAATTAATCTTTCCTAGTATTACTTTTCTACACATGCCCTAATTTCTAATCACTCAACTATGTGATTTGAAAAGCATGATATTGATTTTCTCGGCACTCTTAGGAAGTGAGCTTCATTTGTGCTCCTACACTCCTCAGATGATGAACTGGATAGATGGATAGATGGATGCTGAACAGAGGGATGGCTGGTGAATCGATGATAAATGTAAGGCTTAGGTGAATTTCAGCGTTCTAGCATGAGATCACCATCGACTCTTTCCGACAAATCTAGAAAGGGATGACAAACATGCACGTTAATACTTGTTTCACATCACGAAGCTCTTGGTTCCCCTGCTTGCATGCTCAAGCTTCAGTCCTGGTACTGTTCCACTCTGGAGATCAGTTATTTCATTAGGGAATGTTTCCAAAGAATCTTTCATTCTTACTCATCTTACATACTCTATTCTGCTGTTTAGAATGAGTGTGTTCTATTCTTTTAATGGCATTATGATAAATACTGCGTGGCCCCTTTGGAAAAAACAATGTACAGTTCCCAGAAAATGGAAGTACTGTGTTTTTGCATTACAAGACACCTTTCACTGCAGCACTTGTTGGCTGCTAGATGTAAGCTACAGCTAAAACCCATCCCAGTGCTTCTGTCTCTGCAGTATTGGGTCACTTGTGTCTGCTGTGCTAGGGACCTTGCATTTTACTCCATCTGTGTGATACAGTATCCAAAAGCAAGTGGCAAGGAACGGAGGTTGCCTGTGATAGATGCTTATGAAATGTTTGTTAAAGGATCAACAAATGGTGAATAATTCTGAATAAGAAAAGTGAGACAATCTTGCAAAAAGCCAGTGCCTTGCTCAGGCTTGACTTAAATCAGCAGGATGTTGCCTTACTCAACCTGGAAGTTGTATTGTGCTGGCTTTTATGTGTTCTTTGTCCTATGTTCAAGTCACTGGAGCAATGGGAAGTAGTAAAAAGTTGATCTGAATGAAATGATGAGTGTTTTGGCACCCAGGCCAGTACAATCCATTGCTTACATTGCATAAATCAGTGCTGAGTTTCACTTCTGGGATAACAAAGCATATGGCCCAGAAGCAAAACAAACAGATTTTTGTTGTCTGGGCACATGGCCCTGCTCCTGATTTTTCACATGATTCATGTTACAGACTTTGATCAATTATGTTATTTCTCAGTGGCATTATTTAAATGCTTATGAAACACAAATTGAAAACATCGAAATGTTACTTGGGTTGGTTCAGCAAAGGACTTTGGTTCCATTTTCAAGTGGATCTTACGATTTATGGCTTCTCTGTCTCTCTTCCTCCTCTAGGAATCCCTGACAAGGAGAACGTGAGTAACTCCTCTCTGCCTAACTTCTAAAATCTGTCATAAGGTAAAAAGGTAATCACGGTCCCTCCACCAGCAGAGAGAGTTCTTGCTCCACATTCAACAGAGCAATAAATATATATTTTTAATCTTTTTCTGGCATCTTTGGGGAGTCGCTTTGAAATATGGATGGGAAAGGGCAATTGCTCTGACATGGCCACTAGATGCCTGTGATATTTAGTCTGAAGAAAGGTTATTCCAGGGGCAAATGGTATAATTTCAGTGTGTTTCCTTTTTCCCATGATGTCTGTGGCAGTAGAACAAATTGCTAGCGTCACAGCATGGGGGAAACTCATTGCTTCTCCTTAGTAGGAGTACAAACTGTGAAATTCAAGGTCAGTTGATGATTTTGCCTAATTATATCTAAGTGCACTAAAAATCAACATTTCTCCTTGGAAACTGAAAATAATTACTTGCTACAACTGTTTATGGGAAAACAGGTGAGAAATTGGAAGGTTTAGGTGGGGGAAAAAAGGCCTCACCAAGGAAGACCATGCATTCTAAGGATGGTGGTGGTTCAGAAGCACATCTTTGTATGCAGATGATAATATGATTCCTGTTACGTAGGACCTAAATTTAGACAACCACATGAAAGGGCTGATGATAGAAGTGTGTGGTGAGTGGTCTCCAGTGGTGCTTGGCAGGCTTGCAGGTGCACCACCGTGGCGTGTGATCCTTGATGGCTGTGCTCAGAATGACAGGCTCATCGCTCAGCTTTCCCTGCTTTCTGTCCTGGGTCTCTGGGCAGATCCACTGTCTTTATTCAAGGCATGTGATTTCCACAGCCAGTGTGAGAGATCTGGCATTCTCTCATGGCCATCCTCTTTTTATGATGTGGCTTCTAAAGAGCTTGTTGGGGAGCTGGCCCAGAGCTGTTGCAGCGTGGCAAGTCTGGGACAGAGATATAGCAGTGCCCTTTCCAAAGTCCCACAGAAACCTTACCCAATTTGACTCGACCGAGAGTTTCATTTCCTAGCTGGAGGCCCACGCACAAGCTCTGATTAGTCTAAGCATCCAAGGCAGTTAGGCATACTGAATGAGATAATTTGTGCAAAGTGAGGGGATGGATACAGTAGAGCTCAGTTAGGATTCTTTTTGTCATTGTTTTCCCAAGCCTTCCAGCATTTCCTCGCTATCTTCTCTTCTCTGTAAAACACCCTCCCCTTTATCAGGGAAATTCCTTTTGCATTCCTACAGCCCTCTTTAAAATCCCTTTCTTGCATGAAACTTGTTGTCAATCTTTGGCTATTAAAAAATTCTTGGTGTGTTGTCCATAGCTCTAGGATGGTTCGTGTGGATTCCAAAATGACAACAGGCTTTCCAGGCTAAAGCAAAGAGCTGATCCTGCTGCCATTTTAGACATGGATATCCACCCCTGCCCCAACACCCATGCTTTAACAAATAATTCAGAGAGCATTAGTCAAATAAAAAGATGATAAAAGGGCCTTGTCCTCTCTCATCAAGAGGCTGTGGGTGACATGGAGTGCCCACAAGAATGCCCAAGCCCTGGGAGGTTGAAAATGTTCTAGGCTTCAAAAGGCAGCTCTGGTTCTCCAAGGGGCTCCATGACCTTTAGTTGGATCCCCTGCGGGGGAACAAGAGGCACCAGGCCCTAAGCACAGGGTCTAACAGCTGACACTGTGTGCTCACTTCATGACAAAAGAGGAATTTGAAGTTTGCAGAACATCTGGTATGATGAGCTGTTCGCAACAGGCCATTCTGAGAGACATGGGGGACTGGGCAGGCTGTATCCTTGCTATTAATGGCAGTCTAGGCTTATTTGTTTCTGGGGCATTCCAGGTCAGATTGCCTGACAATCAGGAAAACACACTTGTTCTCCATTAGCAAAGAGAGGGGTGGTAGCTCAGCACGTGCTGTCAGGAACGCTCTCCAATGCCAATCAAAGTAAAGCAAATGAGATGAAAGACATTCATGAGTGGTGTTGAAGCTCTATAAAGATAAAAAGAAGCCTGAGAGTCTTAGAGTGGTGTTAATTGAAAACTTCTCCTTCGGAAGAGATGAGTCGTGTTATGATAATTTCTTTTCTTCTTTATCTTCTTTAATTACATGCTGAGCAATTTTAAGTCCCCTTATGTTTCCAAATAACAACAGTATGCCTGTGCACTCAAATAAAAGTGCTTTGATTATTGTCTCGGTGTCCAAACATTCTTTATGGAAAGGGTATCTTTTCCTTTCCTATGTCTACTCAAATTTTGTTAATCACCATATTTAACTTTGATGAAATACGCAACATCAATTCATGGTGTTTTTAGCTGCCTTATGAGCTCTGTTTTATTTCTACACTTGGACTTACCTTGAACAAAAAAAGAGTTATCCTTTCATAAGTGACTCTTTAGTATAAACAAACGGGCTAGCAGTTACTTGCTGGATTATTTTACTTATTACAATTGATTAAGAAGTCATTTAATGTTAATTGACGTAGGACACTGGAAGCTGTAAAATAGTTCATAGAAAATATTAGGAAATTAACCAGGGAGCAATTAGAGCAAATACACAGTTTGGGTAGGGTTGTGATTGTTTGGACTTTTTTTTTTTTTTTTTTTCGAGAAAGAGAACTCACCTCCACAGATCCATTCCTTAAACACTGACTTCGAGCTAGTGGGAGCCAGGAACTCAACCCAGGTCTCCCTCATAGGTGGCTGGAGCCCAATGACTCAAGCCACCACTGTTACTTTCCAGCATCTGTGTTGGTGAAAAGCTTGAGAGAGGAGCCAAAACCTGGAATTGAACCACAGTAATCTGGTGTGGGGCGTGGGTGGTTAACACTAGCTGAAAGTACACCCCTAGGGCTGCTGAGTTTCTACAGGTTTTTTTCTCTGCTTCATTTAAGCGACATTCTTTTTTCCCTCTTCCTCTGACCATCTTTAACACTAAAGCTGAAAATCACAATTACAAGCCAGCGTTAGGTGTTAGGGTTGCCACTTGAAGGATCGAGCTTGCCTGTCGTTTTTGCTGCTTAGATAGTTGGTGTTGCATGCTGTGTTCCCACCTTTGGAGGAGACAACTGCTGTGAAGTGTTCCTGCTTTGGAAGATTGTACTTCCCTTCTTTGGTGGAGAGGGAGCCAGAGAAATAAGCTCAGGAGGATATGACAAAACAGTCTCATCTTCTGATTTATAAGCATCTTTCCAAATGGATCCTTGGAAGGACTCATTTTCCAGATAGTAATCAGAGAACTTAAAAAGTGTCTGTGGCAAAACAGAATGAAAATATCTGTGTATTTGGGCTCAAAAAACTTTGAAATCTATACATGTGGTATTTTTCCCTATAGTGTCTGTTTTCCAGGAACTCTTTGAAAGTGCCTCATTGTATCGATAGCATGCTCAACAAATTCCTGCTAAATTTGGAAAAAATGTTGGTTGATATAGATCGTGACCATCTCAGCACTCAGAGATGGTGTTGTCTGCATGTTGGAAGGACTCATGCTGACAGACAGATGTGAGTGGGACAGGGGTGACAGCAACTCAAGTCATGGACTGTGATGGTGGCATCCCATAGCAGAGTGTCACTTTGAATCCCAGAGGCTCCTGTTCCCATCCAGCTCCCTGCTAGCGCACCTGGGAAGACAGAAAAACGTGGCACAAGTCCTTGAGCCCTGTCATCCATGTGGGAGACCCAGCTGGAATCACTGGCTTCTGCCATTGACCTGCCTCAGACCTGCCTGTTGTACTATTGGGGGAGTGAACAGATATGGAAACCCACCCATCCCTTCCCCACTCCTCCCCCGCCGTTCTCTCTTTCCCTGTCTCTCTGTTGTTCTGCCTTTAAAACAAAACAAAACAAAACAAAAAAACAGTAACATACCTAAATATTAAAAAAAAAATAAGAATGAGCATTGTAGGTCAACAGGCTAACCCTCCACTCTGCGGTGCCAGTGTCCCATAGGTGTGGTAGTTCATATCCTGGCTATTCCTCTCCCAATCTAGCCCCCTGCTTACAGCCTGGGATAGCAGCAGAGGATGACCAAAGTCCTTGTGACCCTGCACATATGTCGGAGATCTGAAAGAAGTTGCTGGCTCTAAGCTTCAGATCAGCTCAGCTTTGGCTATTGCAGCCATTTGTGGAGTGAACTAATGGATGGAAAATCTTCTCTCTCTCTATCCTCTCTCTGTAAATCTGCCTTTCCAACAAAAATAAACAAATATTAAAATAAGAATGAGAAAGCTTAGAGATACTCATGAGCTGGTCCCCTTTAAAGATTATTTAAGGTAGGAGTTTCTCAAATTTATAAAACTCCTGGACCATAAAGGTGAAGAATAATTTTTTGAAGAATAATTTTTGAAATTACTAAGCGTGTATTTAAATTGTAATGTGGAAGGAACAGCTTACATGATTTGACTTCCATAATGAGCAATAAAATATGATAAATAAAAACTAAGTAACTATTGAGGTCAAAAGCTTAGGAAATTTTAGGACATATACGTTTATTTCTTTCATTTGTTGCTCATTTGTATGGTCAGTGAAGAGAATTTGGAATGTTTTTCCCCTGTTACCATCAAAAAAAGCGGCTGTCACAGGGTCATGCATGACCAGAGAAAGAAGATAGTAACTGTGTTTTCTCGTCCACTCTTCAGATATTTCAAAAGCACAAACAGTTTCAGGGAAAGAGGGGAACACCTGTTAACTCCAGCTTCGGAATGCTTGATGAACTCAGGCCAACATCTTCCTGTGGAAGGTGGTTTTTAAAATGACTGACCTGGGAGTGGCCATCAGTGGTGAAGATGCCAATTGGGACCCCTCCCCATCCCATATCAGAGTAGTCCTGACCCCAGCTTCCTGTAGATGCAGACTAGGAAGGCAGGGGGATGATCATGGCTTCATAGCCAGGTCCCCAACACCACACTGGAGAGTTCAGTTGAGTTCCTAGGTGCTGGCTTCATTCTAGTCCAGCCCTGGCCATTGTGCACACCTGGGGAGTGAATCCACAAATGGAGCTCTCTGTCT